ACATAAAAAAGGGATCTTAATTGCAAGGTTGTAAAATAACCTCAAAAGTTCATTAACGATTACAACAGTTAATATGTGTGCTCTATTGGATGATTAAAGCATTGATGACATGAGTCCCGATTGACTTATCGGCATTTAACTACACCACTTTGTGTGTGAACTATTTCCCACGGACATACCTGGAGAAAAAGGTGAAATGGGCTGAAGCACCACTGATGCTCATAATGATGACATGAAAATAACACCTTTCCTTTTAAAAAAAAGTTTAAAACTCACCCCCAGACCCACGAACGTTTCATTAAAGGGTTCGTCAATTAGATTTAATTATGTCAACGAAATAAGGGGGGTGGAGGGCGGTTTGGAAATGTTTGACAATTGTTGACAAGGGCGGTGGGGTTAGATTAGTTGACGTCAACTACCGTGTTTTCTCTATCAAAATTTTAATCGTATTTTAACTGGCTTTAAATTATTTTAACACATTGAATGAGTGTAAATTAAATTAGTTATATAATATTTAGGTATTTAACGATATAAGATTTATTTAATGTGTGAATGTGCACTGCTGATGGCTGGTCAGAATGTTAGCGAACTTTGTTAGTGCAAGAGAAGTCAAAAGTTAGCTTCTCATCGCCTGTAGATTTTGTTTGTCTCTATTAAGTAGGGCGGTATTTTGCGATCGTGTTGCAGGTATGGAACAAGGACAAGGTTCAAGTGTCATGTGCAGATAAGGTAAATGATATTGAGAGAGTAGGAATACGATATTTTGAGAAGTAGGGGAAATTAAAGCGAGTAACAATATTGGCAACGTATCTTGAACGGATTTGAAAAATGTAAAACATCTATTTTGCATCACAAACCATGTTGAAATAAAAAGCTCAACAACATCGACAATGCATAAGAAATTACCACCTGCTTCTCAACAAAAAAGGATTCGACTAATGCAAGTAGCTGCCAGGAGACAGAGAGAGAGAGAGAGAGAGCTTATGGCAAATATTGCTCACACTGAGCTTCTATTTTAAGTGCTGAATGGTTGGATGAGGATGATGTTGACTTGTCTGGTGTATCAGTTCTGCAAGATGAAAAATCATAAATCAACTACTATCGCCAATTGTAACGAAAGAGCAACACCTGGCTACTCACTGGGAAGATGAAAGCAGCTAGAAACTAGCTACAAATGTCATCTAGGCTGACAATAATAATATCTTACTTCAACAAACAATGATTATTTAGTCTGAAACAAACGTTTCATTGATTCTGCATCGTAAAGTTAAGTTTAAAATCATTTTAACTTGTTAAATGAAAGCTAGATATGCTATTAAAATAGATCAACACAAAGTAAAATATATTTAAAATTTATTAATATTATAATTCATTTTGGGGGGTTGGTTATTATACAATTTTTGACATAATTACTAAGAAGGGGGGGGGGGGATGGTCATTCAAAGTTTGACAGAGTTGGACAAAGGGGGGGGGGTGTAAAAAAAATTCACGTAATTAATGGATGCCCCCAAAGCTGTAAAAGAGTCAAATAATTATTTTTGTGAGCCAGACAAAAATGGACGGCGTCAGCATTGGTCAAGGAATGTCATAGGCACTGCCCCTGGGTCCTCCCATTTTTCAATGAATAAATTACCATTTAGTATTGGAAAATATATTAAAAAGACCAAAAGTTAAAGTGTATTATACAGTAATGACGTATTATGAAAGAGTCCAATAATTTCAAAATAACGTAGTCTAACTATGTAGCTTTTAATAGTATACACTTATCCAACTGAATCTCACGTCTAGGACAGTCACGACTAAAACATCGTATCCCCTTCTCCCCCCCCCCCCACCTCGAATTCCCCTAACAAAAAATGTATAAAAAATTTCCTTTTCCTCA